TATAACCCCAATTAAGGGACTCATAAACCTTACTTACTAAGTCCCATGATCCTCAACCCTAAACCCTAACCCCTAAACCCTAAACCTTACTTACTAAGTCCCACGATCCTCCAAGTAGAGTTGCTTTGCACTGAGATCTGCTTTTGCTGTTTGCGACTTTTGGATTCTCCTTTCGGGGTGTGCAGAAGGGCTCAGCTGAGATGTTCGAAAACGGACGTTTGTTCGCATCTTGGGTAGGCGTCGGTGGATGACGGCTTCGTTTCCGGAGACGCATCTGACCTTCTGAGACCTTCTGGTCATGCAACTTGCTGAAGCCGCTTGCTTCAAGTAATGCTCCATCGCCGATCCAAAGGCTTTTTGCTTTTATACGACCAGCTCTGCCGCACTGCAACCCTGCCCCAGAGTCTGCCCACATCTTGGAGTTTCGTCTTTGCAAAACCCGTAACCATATAGGCCTAATTGCTTTCATGCTGTTGTTCAGTTGTTCTTGATGCGCAAACCGAGAATGATAAACAGCAACGTCAATATCCTTCGTCAAGGTTCGATCTGATATTTATGACTGCCAGGCCACCGACGTGCTCGATGCCTTGACGCCGGAAAGGTGCAGCACGATGGACCCGGTAAGCACCCCCTTGTCAAAGTCGATCCTTACTTCTGCCCGAAAGGAACACCAGACTGCTGGGAGATCAACGAACGAATAACAGCCCAGACTCTCTTGATCTAAGTCGTAGCTCTCTACCACCACCTCGTCGAAGTTACCTGATCTCTGCGCACATGGTCTCACAACAGAGGGCGCGGGCGCTGTTCGTAGCATTCGAGACAGACATGCACCGCAAACCTGAATCCTAGCTCTTCTCTCACATTCTCCTTATCTCTCCGTGGCGGCTGAGTTGCTGTAGCTGCTGGGATCCGGGTGGGGCCAGGGGGCTGTCAGAGTGGCTGCCAGTCGGGGAACTCCACGGTTGGCGACCTGGAAGCACTGGTGAATTCCAAGGCTCACGACCGTACCTACCTGTAGTCTCCATTGTAGTTCCTTTTTGGGGATACCTTATAAAATCCTCCATATATACTTGGTTAAATCAAAAAAAGGAACTACAATGGAGACTATAGGTAGGATCTACAAGGGCGCTGTAAGAGTTCCATACGGGTACGAAAAGAGTTCTGCAACGGTACCAGTGCTCATGGGAACAGCAAAAACCCTACGCAACCCATGCAAGCTAGATCGTCCCTAAACCCTAAACCCCTAAACTGCATGCCTCTGGGAAGGAGGTCTCCAGATGGGTGATCTTGGCCAGACCCTGCTTCTCGATGGCGTGGGCCACATCGGCCACCACGGAGGCCGCAGATCCGGTGCCTGACTTCTTTAGGGTTTAGGGTTTAAAGTTTAGGGTTTAAAGTTTAGGGTTTAGGGGTTTAGGGTTTAGGGGTTAGGGTTTAGGGGTTTAGCGTTTAGGGTTTATAGGGGTTATAGGTTTTGTAGGGTTTATAGGGTTTATAGGGCTTGTAGGGTTTACAGGGCTTATAGGGTTTATAGGGTTTATAGGGTTTAGGGTTTGCGTTTGGGATTTAGGGCTTATAGGGTTTAGGGTTTGGGTTTCGGGTTTGGAGTTTGGGGTTTAGGGCCTGAGATCATGGGGTTTTGGGGCTTATAGTGGTCTTTAAAGGCATCTCTAGGGGCTCTACATTTTGGGTTTTAGGGTTTAGGGTTTAGGGCTTACTTCTAAATTTTAGGGTTTTGGGCTTTGGGGTTTAGAGTTTATAAGGCTTACGTCAAGGATCATGGGACCTAGCAACTAGGGTTAAGTTAGAAATACAGGATTCTGGGATACCTCTGATTTAGGGTGTTGGGGCTAGTCTTGTAGGGTTTAGGGTCATAGGTGTTTAGGGTACCTGAGATTTTGGGTTTTGGGATTATGATGTCGCGGGGTTTAGGGCTGCAGGGTTACAGGGTGAAAGGGTGTAGTTGAAGACTTTGGGCTTAGGGTTATAATGCTATGGGGTTTACTGTAAGGCTGCAGGATTAGTTTTGGGTCATAATGTCATACTTGGAGGATTATGAAACTGATTAAGTAAGGTTATAAGTCCCTTCCTTGGGGTTATAAGTGAATATAAGTATAGTTACCTTAGTTATAACCCTACTTACTAAGTCCCATGATCCTTTAAGTAGGGTTTAGGCCTACAGGGCTACATCTGATTTATCGCTTAAATTCTTCTGTTTCGGGGTTACTGTGTTTAATATAGGGGCCTTAATAATTAGAATAGGGTTCTGGGGGCTCCATATTGTAATTCTAGTATAATCTACCCCACACCCTATTCTAATTACTAAGGCCCCTATACTGGGGGTTGTGGGCTGTGTTGGGTTCTATTGCGCATGCACCGGCGTGTGCGAGCTCTGTCATCGCTGCAGTAAGGGTTCTGCGGGGTGTTATCCCCCAAGAACAGGGGCCTCAATTTAGGGGTATCTTATACGCTGACTCTAATAAGGAACCCCCCATGATAATGTAGGTAATTACTGCGGCCCGTATACTAAACCCGAAACCCCAAGCTCTGAAACGGCTTTTATTGGGGTGGTGAAGGCTTCCACCCTTGTTAAGGCCTTCATTCGGGCCGTGTGAGGGTTTAGGGTTTAGGGTTTAGGGTTTAGGGTTTAGGGTTTAGGGTTTAGGGGTCATGTCTCAAGGTTCGATAAGGACTTACACGGCTTTAAGGCCGTTTCACTGTTCAAGCTCCACAAGTTTCCTTTACTTGAAAACTGAAAACCCTACACCCTAAACCCGAAACCCTGAACCCCTAAACCCCTAAACCCCAAAAAAAACTAAACCCTAAACCCTACAACTCTAAACCCTAAGCTCCCCTTACTTGAAAGCGTACTGTTTCGCGTCTCGGCTTCCAAACCCTAGACCCTAAACCCTAAACCCTAAACCCTGTAGTTCCCTTTAAAGGAACCCTTAAAGGAACCCCTTATAACCCCACTTATAAGTACCCATGAACGTCCCGTTGAAGGTTTAGCGTTCAAGCTCTCAGTCTCTTAGCTCGAGGGTCGCTGAGGATGCCCGTTTAAATTGAATTAGGGTTTAGGGTTCAGGGTTTAGGGTTTAGGGTTTAGGGTTTAGGGCTTTGGGTTTAGGGTTTGTAAGGGTTTAGGGCT